TATCTGCGCAGCCGAAACTTCAAAGACGTCCACGCGCTTTCGTAAAGAGGACCTCCTTAGGAGGGGGGGGTAGTGTAAGGAAAATCCCTTTTCCTTACTTCGCATCCCTACTCAAACGCGTACATCACTGTAGCACCTCAGTCAGCACCGTTACCACTCGCGATCATCGCATCGACAATCATCCCGCCATTTTCGCACATCGCATCCCGACCTCACGGCTCGGCTGGTAACCCGCGCTCCGGGCCTACGCTTCGACACTTTCCCAACCTCAGTCCCAGGCTCGTTGCGCGACTACCACAGACCATTACCGTTACCACTATATCTTTCGCTATATATTCTTCGCTCATGCCTTCGCTCATTGTATTCTTGCTTCGATAGTGCAATTCTCGTTCGTTCACTCAATTGCACTCGTAACACAATGCAAGCAAACCTAGAGAGGTCCTTATGGGAGAGTCCTCAATGCTACAGGAAGAGAGGTCTCAAATGTGTCTCAAAAGTGTCTCGAAAGACACTTTCGGGTGAGTTGGGCGATCCACTTTCAGGACATTTCACGTAGTCTCGAAAGTGTCTTTCGAGACACTTTTCAACCTGTCCCGAAAGTATTCGAAAGGAATATTTTGGGACAGTTTCGGGACATTACATTTTGGAGATGGTCCTGTGCTCCTGAGGTAAGCAGAGCACTAAAAATGGCAGTGCCTGGTCTGCTCAAGCTGAATTCTTGAACGCAATTCTGAGGTTTTTTGCAAGCCTAGAAACCAGAGTCTTCGAGGATGCGTAGAAGAGAGGTTGAAGCCTTGTGGCTCTGATAAAAAGGCATGTATGGGGAACTCAATGAGCTTGTACCGCTACCGAATAGTATGGTTCACCATTAATACTGTCGATACGTATCAACAGTACTACGGTTGGACCGCGGGAGAGGAAGGAGTGGGTTCAAGAATGAGGTCAGGATTAGGCGGGTGATTTTTCAGGAGTGATGGAACGGATTGAGCAAGGGTGCGGCGATCTCACTCCCATCGAGTTTCAGATTCAGGCAACAGGGACGAGGGACTCATCATCCTCGGACTTCTCGCTTTCCCTGCGCTCGATCTCGCATCGCAACACCGGCGTCCGCGTGCGCGCGAGCAGGCTACACGTTCCGCGTCAGCTTACGCTGGCACCGCCGGCGATCCCCCCAGGAACGACACTCTTCACGTTGCGCCGGGCGTGACGTCAATCCCCCCTCATCCCCCGCCCTCCCCTTCTTACTTTACTACCCAACGCACTCCCGCCCAGAACAGCGAGAGAGAACGAGTGACCCAGGTACACATGATGCTCGTTTGACTTACCCAAGGTTGCCTTGTAAAGAGGGCTCTTAAGTGATTCTTGCATTTCGCTAGGTCAATTCGCACTAAGCAAAAAGGGAATTTTGTAACTCACCGTTGACCGTTTGACTTAAGTCTCTTCGGTCAAGCTTCGATTTCTGTGGTTCGTATTGGTTGAGGTGCTTGTACATGGGGTGCAACTGGCTGGCGCAAAATACAGGTGTGCAGAGTTTCCGCCGCGTGCAGGGCAAATTCGCGAGCAGGGATTGGGCATCTTGGGCATCAGGGGTAGCCTCGACCGGCGGACAGGTCCTGTTAGGGTCTAAAGTGTCAGAATGAGGAATGGATGTTCCATTGATGTTGGTTGGGGTACATATAACAAACCCTAACTTCTGTACCCCCTAAGACAAACCTCACTACAGGCTACAACATTTGACACACCCCCATAGCCTAAGTGAGGGGTGTCTAGCAAAAACAAAAAAAAGAGTACGGTCACAAGACCAGTCCAAAAGAAAACAAAGCTCAGGGTGGATCACAACGTCACCACACACTCTGAGCACAAGCAACAGTGGCCACAAGGCTGCTGCACCTAGCGGGGCCGGCAGTACAGGAGGCGACTGACGAGCTCGAGGGTCGCCGCCACCAGCAGGTGCAGTGGAGTCACCAGCCGCTGCACGAGGGGTCTCTCCAGACGCTGCACTCCCACCACCGCCAGTCGCAACAGCACCCCCACTACCTCCGCTACCTCCGCCTCCACCTCCACCGGAACCACCTTTCTTGCCCCCCCTGCCGCGGGACCGCGACGCAGTCGTAACAGCAGCCGCAGTCGCGTCAGTGGCGGCAGTGGCAAGAGAGGCAGTGAAGGTGGGTAACTGCGGGACTGTGCACCCGTGGAAGAGTGGGGGGGACACATTACCAGAGGCGGCAGCTACCGAACGAAGGTTGCTCTCGACGTCCTTGAGTGCAGACTCAAGGACCTCGATAGTCAGCTCACTAGGGTGCTTCAGCAGAAGCGCGTCACGAACGGAGGCAAGGCGGTCAGGGAGGCTAGTGGCGATGAAATAGACAGTAATCGCCATGGGGGGAGGAAGCAGTGCAAGCTGTGCCTCAGTGCAAGCAGCGCGGTAACTAGCGTCGAGCGAGCGGAGGTGAGCGATCAAGTCAGCAGAGCGCTCAAACGAGGCAAGATCAGGAAACAGGAACGGGAGGAAAAGACGGCCGAGAGAGACAGTAGCGGGAGAAGAGTAGCGGGCCTTGATCGCAGTGAGGTACGCAGCAGCGGTGCGAACCTGAGTAAAGTGGACCTCCTCGGACTCAGGGAGGAGGCTGCTGAGTGTGATGCAGGCCGCAGCGTCACGCGACGTCCAAGCCGTCCGGTCAGCGCGCCGACGGGCAAAGCGAGCCGTAGCAGCGTCGTCAGGAGCAGGGCCTAAAGCTGTAGGCTCGAGGGGCTCGGGGAGGTCACCAGTAGCGTGTGACCATAGGGTCTCGCCCCCCTGGACCTGACTCTCTAACAGACGACGAGCGCGAAGAAGCCAGACGGAAAAGTCAAGGGGTCTACCGTCGGCGTCGAAACGAAGAACTCGCGGAGTCGCCATAGTGAGAACCAACGCGAACGAACAGGCGAGTAACAACCGGGGGGGAAGAGGACTCAGTCGCAGCGGAAGAGCGGGCTAGGGCGACGGGCCAAGACGTAGGGTAGGGCAACGGGCCAGGGCCTAGGGTAGGGCGACGGGCCAGAGCCTAAGGAGGGCGACGGGCCAGGGCCTAGGGAGGGCGACGGGCCAGGGCCTAGGGAGGGCGACGGGCCAGGGCCTAGGGAGGGCGACGGGCCAGGGCCTAGGGAGGGCGACGGGCCAGGGCCTAGGGAGGGCGACGCGACGGGGGAAAGGGCGGGAGCGACGCGACGGGGCAGGGCGACGCGACGGGACAGGGCGACGCGACGGGGCAGGGCGGCGCGACGGAGCAGGGCGACGGGACAGGGCAGGGCGACGTGACGGGGTAGGGCGACGCGACGGGACAGGGCGACGGGACAGGGCAGGGCGACGCGACGGGACAGGGCGACGGGACAGGGCGACGGGACAGGGCAGGGCGACGCGACGGGACAGGGCGACGGGACGGGGGGGGTAACAGGCGGGCGCGACGCGACGGGGGGAACGGGCGCGACGCGACGGGGGGGAACGGGCGCGACGCGACGGGGGGGAACGGGCGCGACGCGACGGGGGGAACGGGCGTGACGCGACGGGGGAGATGGCGCTAGGCTCGGTACTAGGCGCGGTAACAACGAAACTGGTACGAACGAGAGGTAGGATCAGGCTCGGGAGGTACGAACGGAGAACGGAGGAACGGGATCCCACAGGATCCTAACCTAGCTGATACCATGTCAGAATGAGGAATGGATGTTCCATTGATGTTGGTTGGGGTACATATAACAAACCCTAACTTCTGTACCCCCTAAGACAAACCTCACTACAGGCTACAACATTTGACATAAAGGGCCCACAATGACTCGGAGTCATAACTGACCACACACGACTGATGCGACCATAAGCACTTTTAGGTGCAGATCCTATGTATTCAGTCAGTACAGATACCCAGTATCGCATGTGGCCGGGTGGGGCCTGGGGTACAACAGCGCCGCAATTGCCGCCATGCGGCATGCTTGTCCTGCTCGGTACCACATTGCGGTTTTTTACTGGCTCGAAATATCCATTCGCGTTGTCAGTATGGTAACGGCTGGATTTGGGCTGCCTTCTCTTGCTGCTGGCCTGGTGTCGATCACGTGATGTTGACAGCTACGCCTGTCCGTCTCGAACTTGAGTCTCGCATTATAGCGCCCCCCACAGCAACTTTTGTTGCCAAACTACAGTACCTTATACGAACCTGTCAGGGTAAATTTCTATCCATGATGTGGATATGGCATCTGCAAGTGGATGGATGCTCACCTCGCCTGATCTAAAACTTATACAAGCACCATCAATTCATCGGATGGTGAAAACCGAAGCCGTTGCGTTTGCTGAGGAGACGATCCTCGAAAAGCAACACGGCCGGATCTGACGCTTGCTACCGCAAAAGGGCAAGCCAAGTGCGATCTTTGACAACAGTTACAAGCAGGGCGACAACTACCGGTATTAGAGACGAAGACGTCCACGGTGCGTTATTAATATGTACGCGTTTTCAGCAGTTGAAGCGTGGCACATCAGCAGCGGCTCTTGCGGTGTGTCTAACCTACAGATTCGACTCATGGTTTCCGCAGACTGTGAGTAGCAGACTGGTGGTGAAACCATGAGTCAATGGCCTGTGGTGGTGGATAAAGGCGGTGGGGGAGAGAATATTTTCAGATTTTAGCGTGGACACCGTATTTCTTTGACACATGCTATAGAAGAAACACCCCATAAATGATACTTGTTCAATTCCAAGTCCCTTACGTCACTTACATGGCAGGCCACAAATACACATACCGTTGTAAGTGAACATAAGCTGACCACAGTTTCGTCAAATCATCTTCCAGTGAATACGTTGAAAAAGACAGCATCCACATTCTAGTCCTATCCTAAGTGAAGTGCTCCTACCCACAGAATCCCCCCACGTAAGGTCCTTCACAAAGTCAGCACCAAAACTGAGGGCATGTCTCGCACGCCTCGTCTGCTCACAAACTCTCCTGCTAGTAGTTTTCCTACTATTTACCATAAGCACAACCTACTCCGACTTCTCCCCGCCCTCTGCTTCCGATCCATCCGACGCACCCTCAGCAGCACCAGCAGCAGCACCATCAGCAGCAGCAGCATCACCAGCAGGCCCTGGGCCAGCGGAGACCTTGACCATGGAGGGGCGGATGAGCTTGTCTCCGATGACAAAGCCCTTCCTGAATTCTTGAATGACCACCCCCTCAGGGAACTCTGTGGAGTCTTCCCTCATGATGGCGTCGTGCACCTGGGGGGGAAGAGGGCAGGGAGGCATGCAAAGAAGAGAAATCATGCGTTTCTGCTGCCAGTGAGAAAGCTCGAAACACAATCCCTGCACCGCCGCTCTCTATTCAGTGGAGTCTTCCCGCATGATGGGATCACCTGGCAGGGGTGGTAGATGAGATGTGGGAGGTGTGCGATTTAAGGAGAGGAGAGGAGAGGGGGAATGCGCTCCAGTTTTGGTTGATCACACCAGAGTCAAACTCATATTGGGTCAGACTCACATGCGGTCAGACTCACATGCGGTCAGACTCACATGCGGTCAGACTCACATGCGGTCAGACTCACATGCGGTCAGACTCACACTCCCAACAAGCTCACACACTCCCATGCAACTCACGTTGGGGTCCAACTCCTTTCCAACCGTCTCCACGGCAGCCACGCCAAGCCCTCGCAGCACCTCCACAAACTGCCGATAGATCCCCTGGTACGCGCCGACAATCTTCTTCTCAGCCTCGCTCTCCGCCTTCACCCCATCCTTGGCGCGCTCAAACAAGTCGACCATCGACCATCACACTCCCATCATACACACACTCCCATGCAACTCACATTGGGGTCGAACTCCTTGCCAACGGTCTCCACCGCAGCCACGCCAAGCCCCCGCAGCACCTCCACAAACTGCCGGTAAATCCCCTGGTAGGCACCGTCAATCTTCTTCTCCGCCTCGCTCTCCGCCTTGACGCCGTCCTTGGCGCGCTCAAACGAGTCGATCATAGGCAGCAGCGCCTCCACCACGTCGCTGCGCACCGTGGCTGCCATGGCCAGCTTCTCCCGCTCCGACCGCTTCCTGAAATTGTCAAAGTCGGCATTCAGCCTCAGAAAGCGGTCCTTGGCTGTTGAGATCTGGAGGGAGGGAGGGAGGGGGAGGGGGAGGGGGAGGGGGAGGGGGAGGGGAGGAGGATGAAGAGGATCTGGGAGTTACAAGAGAGAAAGTTGGGGAGAAGGGGCGCTGAAAGCAGTCCCTGGCCATTGCAGGCTGAGCAACTGGAGGGCCAGCAGAGGCTTGGGGATGGGAAGTTGGAAGTGGAGGATGCGGGGAAGGGGAAGGGGGAAGCGGAGAGGGAGCGGGAAGGAGGAAGAAGGGGATTGGGGGGGAGAGGAAGAGGTGGGGAGGGAGGGAGAGGGGAAGGAAGAAGAGGAAGAAGGCGAAAGGGAGGGGAATGGGAAAGGTAGGGTGAAGGGGAAGGGGAAGCGAAAGGGAACGGAAAAGGGGAAGGCGGGGGGGGGGAGAGAATGGAGGGGGGAGAGAGAAGGGGAAGGGGAAGAAAAAGAGGAAGAGGAAGAAAAAGAGGAAGGGGAAGGGGAAGGGGAAGGGGAAGGGGACGGGGAAGAGGTGGGAGATGGGTAATGTAGAGGAGAGAAGAGGATCGGAATGAGAAAAGCAGAGGAAAGGGAGAGAGGGGAAGGGGGGAGGAGGGATCACAACCGCCACACCACCTCCTCGGCTGCCCAAGAATTAGGTCCCAGCTGCTACATCTCACTGCCTAGCGGCCTCGCCCTTCACCCCACCTCCGTCACCCCACTCGACCGTCACCCCACCTCGCCTGTGAGCCAGCGCCTTGCAGCGCGCTCACCCAGGCCGGAAACTCACCTCAGCGGTTAGCAATTCAAGGCGCTCCGCGACGGCCCTGGCGGTGGGCCACCATGGCTCGCAGCTGCGCCTCCACCGCTGCCACCGCTGCCCAGTCAGCGTCCCTGATCCTGGCCCTGCCCACCGACAAGTCACTCTAGCACCGCGCTCACCTCGGCCGTGAGCGATTCGAGGCGCTCCGCGAGGCCCTGGCGGTCGGCTTCCATGGCGCGCAGCTGCGCCTCCACTGTCGCCACCGCCGCCTCGTCCTCCGACTGATACGCGTCCGCCGCCTGCTTCAAGATGCGCTCAATAGAGTGCGGCGCGGACTCGGCTCCCTCCTCCTCCGTCTCGGTCGCATCCTGGTGTCGGTGAGTGGAGGGAAAGAGGGGGGAGGGAGGAGAAGGGGGGGGGGGGGGAGTTGGGGAAGCAGGGAGGGGGGAGGAGTGAGATTTACAAGCCTCGTCCTCCGACCGATACACGTCCGCCGCCTGCTTCGAGATGCGCTCGATGGAGATGGAGGGGACCCAGTTCCCTGTTCCTCTGTATCCGTTGCATCCTGAGGTAGGTGAATGGAGGAAAAGGGGGAAGAGGAGGGTAATGAGATTTACAAGCCTCTTTCTCCGACTGATACGCGTCGACCGCCTGCTTCAGGATGCGCTCGATTGAGAGCAGATCGGGCTCCGCCTCCTCCTCCTCCGTCTCCTGGTGAAGGGGGAGTGGACGAGAGGACGAGTGGAGGGAGAACGGGGGGAAGCTTCAGAATCTTCGTGCTCCTACTGGTACGCGTGCGCCGCCCGGTTCGTACTGCGGTGGATCCGCATCGAGGCAGTCTCAGCCTGGTCACCTTCCGGTGACTCCTAACGGAAAGCACAAGGGAGATGGCGGGGATGGGGAAGGGGGACCGTGAGGGGGACAGAGAGGGAGGGGCAGGAGGGAGAGGAGAGTGGGAGACGGGAATGGGTGAGTGGGGAGCGGGGTTTATGCAGAAGCCTACGGAAGCACGCGGAAGAAAAAATGGCAGAGAAGGCTGTGCATTGGATCAAATGAGCTCCAAGTACGAGGTAGAAGATGCTTCTCGAGCGTAGTCAGTGCCATTTAGGGGGGGGATGCTCGATCAGTTTCCGATCGCTTTCTCAGAAGCGACTCAAATTTCGCCGAGTGTGGTCAGTGCAATTCAGCAACGCGGAGGGGAATGGTGGATCGTTTCCAATCGTCCGTTCCGTTCGTTTGGTTCTCAGTTCGGCTCATTATTGGTCTTGACGCTTGGGAAAGTTTTGCGCAACGAATCGAAACAAACTTTGGTCGACTTCGTATTTTCTGTGATCCAGCCACTACAAACGCGTTCGACGCAGAAAGTACCTGTGAGGAGTCATAATCCACTGGCGTCGAGGCGCGAACTCGCAAGGAGGCTCCTCTGGTCGCGTGTCGAGCACGCAGTGCTGGAAGAGCGGAAGCCCGAGCCGCAACGCCATCTGTTGCAGTAGCGTGCCACGTGGCAGCCACTGGTCCTTTACGGAGATGGGTCGAAATGTCAGCTGCGGGGACAGCGAATTGTGAAACTACGGAGGCTGAGCCGCTCAGTGCTTGAGCCATTTCGAGCTTCGGATCTGTTTCAACGGCTGAGATAGCACCTGGCGAGCGCCGCGACGAGCCCGGAACAAGCTAACGGCAGGCGTCCGTAGGAGGAGCACCGAGACGTGGAAGGACTAAGTCACAAGAACTAGCGAAGCACCAAGCTCACTTGAAAAATCAGTCCAAAGATTTTGACCAATTTGAGAAACTCGCCAGTGAGGATAAGCTCGGGGGGGGAGGGAAGGTTGGACGGGAGGGGGAAATGTACTTGCCACGTGGCAGAAATGTTCTCGAGGTGGAGAGCAGAGGGTGCGTGGCCCGTAAGACGTGGCAATGGCAACTTCGAGAAACGACGTGTCGACGCGAAGGTTTGGCCGGCGAAGGTTGCTTGTAAAGTTGAGTCGGTGTAGAAACATTTTATACAGTTGAAGGCCTTCACTACAAAACAGCTAAATTGGGTATTTCATTTCATTACAATACAAGGCTTTATTCCCATCTAAATTATGATGGCCAACAGTGGCTAGAAATTTCTCTTGCATTCTTATCAGAAGCTTAAGAGCACTATCTTCTCGTAGTGGTGGTCGTCGACTTCGGTTTAGCCTTCACTTCGCTTTCCTGTTGAGCAAACAAAACGAAAGGACAGAGAAAGGTGAATCTCAGAAGTGAATACAGGTGGGTACACATCACACATAACATTCTCGCCAAAAGAGTGCCCCCCGTTTAGAAAAGCAATTGAGAGTGCATGTGGTGTTGTAAATAGAAAGGGGTTACAGTACCTGGGTTGCGTGCAGCAGAATGTAGTTCTTGTTGACGGCAGGGTTGTGGTTCTCGGCGCCTTTGCTCCAGTCATAGCTCACAGCGTATCCAAAGATGGTGCCATCATGGTTGAAGGCGCTGCAGGAGATGGGCAGGCTGCAGCGCTGCATGGCCTGGTGGGGTTGACAGGGTGAGAATAGGGCAGTGGAAATGGTGAAATTACTGCCCGTCAAACAGATACCTACTCTGAGCAAACAAATGTCAGCTCGACCTCCTGGCCAAAGGGCTTCAAGTCCCAAAAAAGGTGCAGAAGCAAATGAAGGAACGAAGAAGAATGAATGAAAATAATGCTTTCCCATCTTTAATGATGGACCATGGCACAGCACGGCAGTGAGGTACCTTTAGGCGCTGCTTGCTGTCCTTGTCCCAAAAGTTGTACGCCCCATCCGACCCTGTTGTTGCGAACGTGCCGAATTGCTGCATGGAGTGGCAGTGGGGGGCGGGAGGGCAGGATATGGCAGGAAGGAGGGTGATAAGGGAGAGTGGAGAGACCGAGGTAACTGAGGGTGATGGACAAGGGGGACGAGTCAACCGGGCATACCTCACGAGAAAAGTCAATGCAAGTCAACCAGGCACACCTGACAGACAGGGCACAAGTCAGCGCAAGTCAAACAGGCATGCACCAGGTGCAAGTCAATAGCACTGACAGCGTCGATGTCAACACCAAGTCAACACAAGTCAACCAGGGAAGTGCTGCACCAGGTGGAAGTCAATTGCGTTAACCGCGTACATGTCATTCCCATCGCGGTGACACTTGAAGGTGAAGCTCCTCTGCTGCTGGTTCTCCTCTCAACGCCACACACAGCCCCACCAGCCCAACAGCACACGGCCTGCCCCACAAGGTAAAAGTCAACGCGAGTCAACCAGGCACGCATCTCACCGGGTGGAAATCAATCGAGTTAACCGCGTAGATGTCGTTGCCATCCCGATGGCACTTGAAGGTGAAGTTCTTCTGCTGCTGGTTCTCCTCCACGTGCTGCACGGCCACGCGCCCCTCTATGGACCCCACCAGGTACCCACTGCGGTCGGGGAAGGTCGCCACACAGCGCGTCTGGTACTTGAGGGGCGAGATCACCCGCTTGTACTCCGTCTGGTAGTGGAGGGGGTGGTGTAATGGGGTGAACAGGGAGTGACATTTGTGGCGTCTCAGATGTCACACACAGATGTCACACCCACAAGTGAGTGACACTGATGACAGCTTTCCAGTCGACTTTAAAAACGTCTCATCACACAGGGAGAGACATTGTGGGCGTCTCACATTCTGTGGCACCCACACATACACACACTTCCCCTCCAGAGTAGTCTAACACTTCCCCTCCAGAGTAGTCTAACACTTCCCCTCCAGAGTAGTCTAACACTTCCCCTCCAGAGTAGTCTAACACTTCCCCTCCAGAGGAATCTAACACTTCCCCTCCAGAGGAATCTAACACTTCCCTCCAGAGCAATCTCACCTGTGGCGATGCGAGGTTGTACACGATGATGTGGCGATCCGCAGTGGCCACGACCATGAGGGGGTGTCGCACGCTCAGCCCGTACGGCCGCTCGGGCAGCGCCTGTGTGTGTGCAGGGGTGGCCTGGCGCGTGTCCCAGTACCTGACGGGCGGCAGGGGGGATGACGGTGGGGGAGTGGGGCGGGGGGTGGGAGGGGGAAGGAAACAAGTAACTGCTGAGCCTGTGTGTGTGCAGGGGTGGCCTGGCGCGTTTCCCAGTACCTGATAGAAGGCAGGGGGGATAATAGTGGTGGAGTCGGGTGGGGGGTGGGAGGGGGAAGGAAACAAGTAACTGCTGAGCCTGTGTGTGTGCAGGGGTGGCCTGGCGCGTGTCCCAGTACCTGGCGGGCGGCAGGGGGGATGATAGTGGGAGAGTGGTGCGGGGGTTGAGAGGGGAAGGGAAAAAAAGTGAGTGTTGAGCCTGTGTGTGTGTGCAGGGGTGGCCTGGCGTGTGTCCCAGTACCTGACAGGCGGCAGCGGGGATGACGGTGGGGGAGAGGGGAAGGAAGCAAGTGACTTGTGAGTCGACCCTCTTGTCAATCCGAGCCTGTGTGTGGCCGGGGTTGGCCTGACGCGTGTCCCAGTACCTGACAGAGGGCAGAGGGGGGGAAAGGAGAGGGGGGTTGGGGACGTATGCATTAGACCACCACCATGAGGGGGTGTCGCACGCTCAGCCCGTACGGCCGCTCAAGGAGCGCCTGTGTGTGGGCTGGGGTAGCCTGGCGCGTGTCCCAGTATCGTCTTGTTCCTATGCCCGTCTAATGTGAAGCATAAATCAGAATACCCATCCCCATCTAAGCCTCGCACTCACTTGATCGTCTTACCCCAGCTAGCAGTGACAAGCAGGTCCATCTCGGCGATCCACGCCATCTTGCACATGGGTGCATCGTGCACGCCCGCGTCCCGCCCACCGTGCTCTCAGTCACCCCGTCCAATCACTCTACGAGCCCTCTCACTCACTTGATTGTTTTGTCCCAGCTGGCGGTAACAAGCAGGTTCATCTCGGCAATCCATGCCATCTTGCAGATGGGTGCATCGTGGACGCCCACCGTGCTCGCTGCCCCTCCTGACATGAGCGGCCACATCTTGGCCTGCTTGTCACACCCGCCTGAAAACACTGTCGTGCCGTCGTCCTTCCATGCTGAACAGAGCACCTGAGCACGCCGGAGCAAGGGAGGGTGGGAGGATGGAGGGAGAGCAGGGGACGGGAGTCAGGTGTTGGCATGAGTGGCGTGGCAGGTGGCCACATCCTGACCTGCTTGTCACAGAAACCAGAGAACACTGTCGTGCGTTGTCCTTCCACGCTGAACAGAGCACCTGAGCGGGGAGCAAGAGATAAGGAAGGGACAAGTGTGGAGAGACGAGAGCGGAAAGCAAAGAGCAGAGGGCGGAGGACAGAGAAGCACAGTTGATAACGCGAGAAGGCGCTGGTCGCACGCACCTAGACGGGCTTATCACACCCGCCAGACTTGAACTGGATGGCATGGCAGAAGCATGAACTGATGTACAACGAGCAGCAGAGAGGGATGGAAGCGGCCACGGGGAAAGGCGGAAAGGGCAAGGGGGGACGAACAGGAACGCGAGAATACATGGCCAACAGGTGTGAGCGAGAGAAAGAATGAATACAGTAACGGAGGCTCTGGCAGTCACAGAATTAGGAAGATGAGAAGGCTGCGAGGGAAGGGATGGATGGCATTGGCACTCACGGGTTGGTCGTGTGCTGTTCCTGCCTTTGGCACGCTGGCTCCATTGCCCTGAATCTCCCAACACCGCACCTGGTGGCGGCAGGGGGGGAGGGTATGGGTGTGTGGAGACCATGGACGAAAGATGTGTGAGCGTGTGAGAACATTTGTTTGAACGAGTTGCTGCTTAGCACCAAGCCAACTCACATTGTAACTCCACAGTAACTGAAGAACAACAGCTTGTTATTATGACAAAGATATGCGACAGCACACGTCACCTGGTTATCCCATGACGTGGCAACGAGGAAGTTGGCCTTGGGGTTGAAGCACATGCTGGAGATGCCGTCATTGGGCGGCTGGGCCACCTGCAGACACGTGAATGGCAGGCACACGTCAGGCACGTGATAGGCACACGTCAGACACGGGACAGGCCCACGCCAGGCACAGGACAGGCACGTGATAGGCACACGTCAGACAGGCACACAACAGGCACGTGATCGGCACACGCAGGCACGAGGCAGGCACACGCCATGTACGGGAAAGGCATGGATGGGGTAGGTAAGGAGTGAACAGGACAATATTTTAATAGGCCAGTACCGAACAACCATAGGAGGATGACAGGGAGGACGATTGGGGGAGATGGCAGGGCTAGGTGACAGGGAGAGATGACGGGGGGAGGAGACAGGGGGGGATGACGGGGGGAGGAGACAGGGGGGGATGACGGGGGGAGGTGACAGGGGGGGATGACGGGGGGAGGTGACAGGGGGAGATGGCGGGGGAAGGTGACAGGGGGAGATGGCGGGGGAAAGATGGTGAAAAGCATCGACAGCAGGGAAGAAAATTAAGAGCGTTCCACACCCAATCAAGCGCCACCATGCTTCATCCACGGTGACGAAACACCCATTCCCTTTCCGAATCCTGGAATCTTGCCCGCCAGTGCTCGCTGTAGAATAAAACCCTAATCGAACGACGCTCAGCCTACAATATCGCGAGCCTCGCTAGAGCGATCCGCTGGCGACGAGGAGGCTTGTCGCAGCAAGGAGGCGAGGACCGCGCGTGCTGAGTGCGAAAACTATAAATCGAGAACGATCAGAACCTAAACTCTGAGCTAGACGCTGAAGTGCAATGGCCACACGAGAGGGGTTCTTTGTTTGGGTGAGGACGGTACCTCGATATCCTTGTTGGGATTGTGCGGTTGCGTCGCTGTGACAGTCCCGAACGTCGCCATTACGAGGTTTCACGGCTGGCGACCGGACGTCAGGAAGGACAGCGGCACGTATCAAAGCGGCGACTTTATTTGAATAGGTTAAAAACGGTTGAGTGATGGCAGTTGCTCTTCAGAGATTACAAATAGAAGAAGTGGTGGGAAGGAGCGTGGGACTTGATTAGTCGAGTTTCGGGACGTTTCCAAGCTAGGGCTTGACCAACATAAGACAGAGGACTGGAGAATTTGGGTCCCACTACGATACGAGATTCAGCGTCCGGAGCACCGAGGCTTGCGTGCACAGACCCACGCACGAAACGAATCTACGGCGCCTTTTCCGAGCCCCCAGCAAGGCTGCAGCAGAGTGGCTGGTTGCGTGCAGAGTGATAAGAGCAAGGAAGCATTTAGGTTATTCAGTCGCTGGTCGTCTGCGTTGGGCTAATTTCAAGGCGGTAAAAAAGGCGGTAGGGGGGTCAAGGAGCAACAGCAAGAAGCAGGCACAAATTGTCTGTACATCATATCCTCCGACTGTTTAATTTAGTAATAAACAAACGCGAGCCTCTCAATAACAGCATTACCGTTCACAAATATTTTCCTCCTCCTTTTCCCCTCCCCGCATCTATCAAGCAGACCTAGGTCCTGTCCAGGCCTGTCGATTGACGGGCATATGCCCTTAATGCCCTGAAATTCCGGGTTACTTTCGCTCCAGCTCGACTGCATAAAGTGTTAGGATCGCATTGCACCCGTGCCACTAAGTGCCTCGTCAGACCCTTCCCCGGACGCGTTAAGTTCTCCAATCAGGCCTTCCCCACCCACTAAGTTTTGGTTTCCGGTTGTAGGCCCCCCCCCCCCGAATTCTGCCTTCCCACCCCCACCCACCCCCCCCCCCCCCCCCCCCCACCCCCCGAGAGCGCGCCAACGGGATTTTTCCCTTAGCGTTTTCGAGCCAATCCCGTCCGTATCTGTAAAGTGGCTGAGACACACATGGAGCACTCGAACTTTCCCTTAGCGTCCAAGCCAATACTAGCTGGCCGCATGTTACAGCTGGGAGGACACCTTGGCCCTGTTCGCCACGACCACGATATAGGCAAGGGGCGGGGGATGGGCAAGGCTCCAGAAGGTGCGCCGGAAGATGCGAACTACGTCCGGGGGCTCGCCCCGAATGGAAATTTCTCCAAAGGGATCCGGAAGGGGGCCAAGGGGATCTGGCACCTCCCGCCCCACCTTCGTTTAGGGCGGGACTTTTTTTCCCGCCTCTGATCCACAACCAGAGAAAAAAAGAAACAAATCAGCCCGGGTAAAAAGTGTCGAAAAAAGAAAAGGTCCTTCACAGCCCGGGTAAAAAGTGTCGAGAAAAGAAAAGGCCCGGGAGAATGTTTTCTCTCTCCATAACGGATTTCTTCTAGCTAAGTTGAAAGGAATAGAAGTCGTAATCGAGGTTCTTACTAACGTCGGTAAGGGGGGCTAGGCGCGATCGTAATTGACGGACAAGAGCAATGACGGACTTGAAGCAGCTGTCTTATCAGTGGGTGTTGAATGCCACTCGGGAGGGCGAAAATTTGTTGTTCCGGGCCGGTTCTGATGACACGTTGGCGTTTACCCTGCCCTCAAATCCCCCGGCCATCCCGTTAGGCGCCTACGAAATTGGTGGTCTGCACGAGGGAGAGTCGATGGAGGGGATGGGGTTCCGAGCTGGCAGGACAGGAAACTGCCAGGCGCATTCTGGATCCCCCGCCCATCCCTTCGATGGCCCAGAAAAGTGGGTGTTCGCCACGACAGCGAGCCCTCCGAGGTTCGGAGGGGATCGTCAGGCTCGACAGGATTTTGTCGGTCTGACCGGCCCTAAAACCCTGATTTCACCCCTTTTCGAAGGTGCAGGGCGGATTCCAGATCCCCCGCCCATCCCTCTGAAGGCCCAGCAAAGGCGTGGCGAACAGGGCCGTAGGATTAGCGTGCCTGAATTTGGCTAAGTTGATTGGCCGCATGTGTAGTGTCAGGTGTCTTTGACTTCTAATTTAAGTAGATAACTGCACTTGTCATAGTGTAAAGAAGTGTAAGGGCAAACTTCAGACATGCCCTGATTTCAAGTTCTGACTTTGGGGTGTGTCCCGTGACCCTTAAGGGCGCCAAATCAATCACCTACCCCCAACCAAGGGTCAGATTGGGAGGAGCTGGGGAGCGCAAGTTCGAGCCCCAGGGACTTCGACAGGCCTGGTCCTGTCACATGCTGCCGACACGGACAGATACTGCGTTGCCTCTCGAATGCCAGCAGCAGTAGTTCCCATCAGACGAGGTCGCATCCTTGCCGCGCATTGCCGCCGGTCACGGTGTCGTTATTGATTGTTTCTTATCTTGTTCTCAGATGTGCATTGGCAACTGTTGAGGGCTACGCGTCTCTGTCAATTGAGCGATCATGTTGAGCGTGGTCGGCGGCGCCGCCGGTAACGGCGTCAAGGGTAACTCGCGAATAAACATGATCTACGTCTTTAATCGCAACGGCTGCATCTTCTACCGGGAATGGTATCGTCCGAACCCGCCGAACACGGACGACCACAAGCTCATGTTCGGGCTCGTCTTCTCCCTCCGCTCCTTCACCGCCAAAATGGATCCCATCAAGTACGCTAATTCTCCGCTGCCACCCGGAAATGGATCTTGTTCAGTGCGCAACCCCGCGTTCGTCTGTCTATCACTTCTTTGGTGTCACCTTGAATGTCATCCTCTTGAATACGCGAACCACTGTTTCTTCTGTACAACCGCAGATTAGGGCCCCTCCTCCATGTCTCACCTCAACAGTGGTGCAATTCATCTCAGCTCAATCATTCTCGTGAACATCTCAATTCATTTCAGCTCCTACTACCGTATCCGATTGGCCAGATTATGTCAAGATCCTGGCTATACCCACGTTCGCATTCCAGTCAGCATTCCTCCTCGGTCTTGCTCTCTTTTCATTTCCCGCTCCGTTCTTCCCCCTTTCCATTCTTTCCCTTGTGTGGGCTTGTTTACTTCCGGTGGTGCATGTCAGTGGTGCATCAGGCGATGGCTGCTCCTTCCATTCCTTCCGAACCAACACTTACAAGCTGAACTACCTTGAGACCCCCTCAGGCATTAAGGCAAGTTTTGTAATGCCATGCACTCTCCAATGCTATGCATTCTCTTATAATCTTCAGTGTATATGGTGGCTCTTATTCTCCTCTTGTTTTTTTCCTCAAGGGTCCTGCCACTTTTACCTAACTGGAATTGTTTCTTTGCTTGCCAAGTCTGTTATGTTCTGTCTTTGTCTATGGTTTGTGAACTGCAGATAATACTAGTAACTGATCCGAAGATGAGCGACCTCCGGGATGCTTTGAAGCACATATACACCAACATATACGTTGAATACGTCATTAAGAACCCTCTTTATGTGCCAGGCGAACCTTTCAGGTATGTCAGGGAGCAGAATGAAGAGGGTGTTGGATGGGGGATGCTGAGAAACTAAGTATAAATTTGCGCACACTTAGCGCATGCATGATGACACATCAATCGTGCCGGTCTCTGAATTTGCTCGAACTAAAAAATTTGTGATCAGTGTCCACCTCCAACGTGTACCACTCCCTTAAGGGCCGTAGGAGGGATGGAGAAGGAAGAAGGTAGTGAATAGGGAACACAGTCGAGAAAGGAACATTCAGATGGGTGAGGTGTTGGATGAGATATCCCCAACGTGGCCTGGAGTGGATGGGTGGGTGGTTGCTGCTGTGTTATGTTTCATTCAGTTTTTTTGCTGTGTAATCCACCTAGAGAGGTAGAGAGATACGCCATACTAATCGTCGACTCCCTTTTGCCCCTCCCCCTTTGTTTACGATCTTGTTCGTTCATTTGTGCAGATGCGAGTTGTTCATAAGTAGTTTGGACTCTTATGTGACAACACTATCCTAGGCAATATCGTAATGTAAATATACTCTTCTCCTTTGCATCCTTTCAAATAGGGTTTAGTGCAGCTAAGAGGAATATTTCATATTACTTTCTTAAATGTTGTTGTGCGGAATAAAGGATTCATAACTGACTTGAAATATTTCCACCGGGTGTAGCGCTGATGTGGCCTTGTGTAAGGAATTTTCTCGGCATTCCTTACGGAGCCCGACTACATCGCGTACAGCAACAGCCGTTGTTCGCCCGTTACTGCTAACGGGGCTTCGCCGACTTCGCGCACACTGTTTTCACCAAACCTCGCACTGCTGGCATGGCCGTGTCGGCCTACGCTTCGGGACTAGCCCAAGCCTCGCTCCAGCGTAGCACTAGCTAGCTCGCACGCACCGCGTTACCGTTTGCATGTTTCGCGTATAAATGTTCGCTCATGCCTTCGCTCACATTTTGTACTCGTTTGACACCTTAGTGTCAAATGTTGTAGCCTGTAGTGAGGTTTGTCTTAGGGGGTACAGAAGTTAGGGTTTGTTATATGTACCCCAACCAACATCAATGGCATCATCATTCCTCATTTTGACATGGTATCAGCTAGGTTAGGATCCTGTGGGATCCCGTTCCTCCGTTCTCCGTTCGTCCCTCCCGAGCCTGATCCTACCTCTCGTTCGTACCGGTTCCGTTGTTACCGCGCCTAGTACCGAGCCTAGCGCCCTCTCCCCCGTCGCTTAGCGCCCTTTCTCCCCGTCGCCTAGCGCCCTTTCCCCCTCCCCCCCCCCCCCCCCCCCCGTCGCGTCGCGCCCTTTCCCCCCGTCGCCTAGCGCTCTTTCCCCCCGTCGCGTCGCGCCCGTTCCCCCCGTCACGTCGTGCCCGCCCTTTCCCCCCCGTCCCGTCGCCCTGTCCCGTCGCGTCGCCCTGCCCCGTCCCGTCGCCCTGCCCCGTCGCGTCGCCCTGCCCCGTCCCGTCACCCTGCCCCGTCGCGTCGCCCTGCCCCGTCGCGTCGCCCTGCCCCGTCCCGTCACCCTGCCCCATCGCGCCGCCCTGCCCCGTCGCGTCGCCCTGTCCCGTCCCTACGCCCTGGCCCGTCGCCCTACCCTACGCCCTGGCCCGTCGCCCTACCCTACGCCCTG